ACGCCCGACCTAAAAGGCCTTTTGGGTCGGGCATCCCGCAACTCCGAACCACACCCTTCTGATGCTGCCCACGGACCCCCAAAGCATTTGATCTTGGAGGCGCGCCTGATTCTTCCTACGTTGCCCAAGGGGATTCCTGTCCATATGTTGATTGACTCTGGGGCTACTACATACTTTATGGATGCAGAATTTGTGGCTAAATGGGCAATTCCCCAATGCCCTGTGGATCCGCCGATGTTAGTGGAGACCATTGATGGTCGAGTGCTTCTGTCTGGGCCAATTAAGGTTGCCACGCAACTGCTATGTATGGCCATCCATACACATGAGGAGGCCATTCAGTTCTATATCACCTCAGACGTGCATTTCCCCATGGTCTTGGGACTGGCGTGGCTCCGGGCGCATGACCCACAGATTTATTGGTCTCAGCACTTGGTCACCTTTCCAAGCTTGCAGTGCATGGACCACACCCACCACATCTGTGCCGGTCAGATAGAGGGGCCCATGGGGGTTTCCTTACCCTCTGAATTGGCAGATTATGCTGATGTGTTCAGCGAGACTGAGGCGGATCGATTGCCCCTGCACAGGCCTTATGACTGCCCCGTTGACTTAGTCCCTGACACGCCTCTCCCAGTGGGGCATTTGTATTCCATGTCGGACCCCGAGTTGGCTGCGTTGCAGGACTTTTGGGACAAGAATTTGGCTCAGGGTTTTATTCAGCCCTCATCCTTGCCAGTATCTGCACCTGTACTCTTCGTCAAGAAGTCCGGTGAATTGCGGCTTTGCTGTGATTATAGGAAATTAAATGTCATCATGGTGCACAACCGATACCCGCTGCCCCCTCATCCCCGAAGTCTTGGACCAGCTCCGTGAGGCCAAAATCTTCACAAAAATGGACTTGCGTGGAGCTTACAACCTTGTCAGAGTGCGGTCAGGTGATGAGTGGAAGACGGCGTTTGGTATTCGGTATGGGCACTTCGAGTACATGGTGATGCCATTTAGCCTGACCAACGCCCGTCATGTTCCAGCACTTTATGAACGATATTTTCCGGGACTTGTTAGATCAGTTTGTGGTGATCTACCTGGACGACATCCTGATCTATTCCCCATCGTGAGAGGTGCACCATCAGCATCTCCATCAGGTCCTGCAGCAGCTTCAGGAACATTGGCTATATGCTAAACTAGAGAAATGCCAGTTCTACCAGATGGCCATCGAGTTCCTGGGTCACCATATTTCTCCTGAGGGCATCACCATGGAATTGAATAAGGTTGAGTCTCTATAGAGTTGGCAACCCCCACGTCATGTGAAGGATGTCCAGTGACTTCTTGGGTTCACCAACTATTATCGGACTTTCATCCCCGGGTTTGCTACCATGACAGCTCCCCTTACTCGGCTCCTGCAGAAAAAGACTCAGTTCCAATGGGATGCTCCAGAACAACGGGCTTTCCAGGCTTTGAAGAAGCCTTCATGAAGGAGCCCATCCTGAAGCATCCTGACCCGCAATGGCCATTTGTCGTGGAGGTGTATGCCTCCGACATTGCCATTTGGGTGGTGTTACTCCAGGCGACAATGCCCAGCGGTGCTCTCTTCCCTTGCACGTACTATTCACGGAAATTGAATCTGGCGGAGCGCAACTATACCATCTGGGAGAAGGAGCTATTGGCCATTAAAGTGGCGTTCAAGGCCTGGAGGCATCATGTGGAAGGCATCAAATTGAGGTCCAGACAGGCCATAAGAATTTAGAAAGCCTGCAGACCGCTCGGAAATTGAACCAACGCCAGATCCAGTGGTCTCTCTTCTTTGCGAGATTCAATTTCCGGGTGACGTACATACCCAACGGTCACATTCAAAGAGCAGATGCTCTGTCCAGGAAGCCCGAATATTCCCGAGCAGAAGACAAGCTTCTCTCCAGGACAGTGCTCCCTATTGAGTCTTTTGCTGCGATGAGGGAGCCAATAGACATACGGGCTCGAATTCGGGAGGCCCAGCAGCAGGATGGGTGGGTGGCTCAGTGAAAGGAGGAGGTGGGGCCCAATTCCCCATCGACAGTCACGGATGGACTCCTCCACTATTGGGATCGGCTCTATGTTCCTGGAGGCCCGCTCAAGGGACTCATCCTCAGCCAGTGTCATGACAATCCAGCGGCGGGGCATTTTGGCCTGTTCAAGACTCTGAACTTGGTCTCCCGTACCTTCTGGTGGCCCCAAATCTGACACGACGTTCAGACCTACGTCTCATCTTGTATTTCATGTAGGCAGGCCAAGTCAGTGACAGGGGCCCCATCCGGACTACTGGAGAACACCCAAAAGACCCTGGGGGCTGTGTCCATGGACTTTTTGACGGACTTACCCCCATCTTCTGGATTCATGACGGAGTTCGTGGTGGTGGACATGTTGACCAAGATGGCACATTTCATTCCATGCCGTGGTTTACCGTCTGCCCATGCCACCGGTTGCATGTTCATCCAGCAGGTGTTCCATCCAGCAGGTCTTTCTGATAGGGTCGTGTACGATAGAGGAGCCCAGTTCACAGCCTGTTTCTGGCAGGAGTTGATGCAGGCGTTGAATGTCAAGATCTGCCTCTCGTCTGCACATCATCCCCAAACCGACGGAGGGACCGAGAATGTCATTGGAATCCTGGAGCAATATCTGCACTGCTATGTCAATCAGCAGCAGAACAATTGGGTGGACTATCTGGCGGTGACTGAGTTTGCGTTCAATAACTCACAGCACACCTCCACGCAGATGACACCATTCTTAACCAATGTGGGCTATCACCCTCGGTTTTTCCCTCTTTCCCCACTAGATGCACCGGAACCACCAGTGAACAACTACCTGGCAAAGTTATAGGTGATCCATCGATTGGTGCAGCGACAGTTGGAGAAGGCCAAGGTTGACTACAAAAGGTTTGCTGATTGGTCAAGGTGGAATGCACCTCCACTATTGGTGGGAGATCGGGTATGGCTATCCACCAGGAACCTACCGTCAACCCAGCCAACCAAGAAATTAGACCACCGATATGTAGGACCGTTCCCAATCAAGGCTGTCATCAATCCGGTCACCTATTGCTTAACTCTGCCATGTTCCATGAAGGTACATCCGGTCTTTTACCATTCTCTGTTGGTCTCTAAGCAACCGGTGTGTCCACTCCGCCGAGCCAAATCTCCCCCACCAGAACAACGTGATGGAGACAGTGCCCCCAAGTACGAGGTTGCCAGCATTTGGGACTCCCATTGGGTGAAAGGTCGCTTCCAGTACCTGATTGAATGGAAAGGCTAGGGACCGGAGGAGTTCACCTGAGAAGATGCGACCACCATTCATGCTCCTGCCTTGGTGACCGCCTTTCATGACCAATTCCCATCCCAACCGCATACGGATTTGCAGACCTAGGGGAAGGGCCCTGCGGTGCGGGATAGTGTTGTGATTCCGTGCCAGCTTGTGCTCCCAACAGCTGAGTCTCAGGAATATGAGGAGGAGGTGGAGGAGGCATTTGAAGGGCCATTAGGGGCAGAGGGAGGCTCTGATGAATTATAGGACTCACAGTTTGATTCAGAGCCTGGGCCCTCCAGTCATGTTCCTGATGAAGCTCAGCTGTGTGAGGAGAATGAGTCAGAATCAGAGGACTCACATCTGATGGACTTGCTAATTGATGTCGCACATGTCGTCAATTAGCGAGAGTAAATCAGCAGCAGTCAATACGACAACTCCAGAGTAAAAGGAGAAGGCAATAAGAGGCAACGCCTTGGGACTGCTGTTTAAAAAGAGGAGGTGTGGGCAGTGCTGGTTGCTGAAGGCAACTGTTTGCAAAGTGCTTCTTGGAATCCTGGTCTGTTCATCTTGCTTGTGACTTCTCTTCTGTTTGCATCATGTTTCCTGTTGACTATTTCCTTCCTTTGGACTTGAGTTTTGCTGTTGTGTTTTGGACTATTTGACAGGTTTGTCACCCATATTAAAAGGGGTTTGTTTTGTTTTAAAGTCTCCAGCCTATTGTATCAGCAGGGGTTTGGTCCTTGTGCCTTTAACAAGGATGGCAATAGGATGGGATAGAACACTGCCTGCCTTTTCTCTGTTTCCTAGTGTGCCTCTGGAAAGCTGGGAAGAGGGGGACAAAATGAATCTACTCCTAGTGTGGAATCAAGAAGCTCCAAGGGGCCTTTTCTTGCAGTTGCTGCAGTAATGCCCCCCAAGCTTCCTGCCCTGGCTGCTGCACCAAAAACAGTTGATTATTGCTCAGTGGAACCAGCACTGGGGTGGGAGGAAGGAATGGATTTCCCTTCTGCTGACTCTGCCTCAGTGGACAAGACCTCCTTCCAAAAATCTCTCCTAAGATTCTGGCAGGCACAGCTCCAGAACTGAGCTATGCTGGCTCAGGAATTCTGGGAGTTGAAGTCCACGAGTCATAAAAGAGACAAAGTTTCCCTTCTGCCTTCTTCAGAGAGAGAAGCTCTGAAGGTCATTAGGATTCATTGTCCTGGAAGGACAGGGGTCCACTTCCAACCCTCAGTGAATTTCAGCTGGAGGTAGAAAAATGGGCAGTGTCTCAGGCTGAAGAAGCAAATTGTGTGGACCACTTCACACACATAGACAACAAATGTCTACAAGTATAGCTCCCCTTGAGTATCACCTCAACTAATCCTTATTTTCTCCCGTCCCATAAGCACTCCCCCCCATACACAATCATATTAATCTTTCACAGGTCATGCTTAACTTAATCAGGCAACTTCAAGGGCTCATTTAAAGAAGAGAAAAGGTCAGGTCTCCCTTCAGAGCCATAAGTGGAGCAGCTGAAGGTGTGATTCGGCACCCATGCTTCCAGACAAAATTTTATTTATTTGTAATTAGAAATAAATATTTCACAATATATAATTACATATTGTTTTTGTGATTAATCACTATGCTTTAATTATGTTCAATTTGTAACAATGAAAATACATCCTGCATATCAGATATTTACATTATGATTCATAACAGTAGCAAAATTACAGTTATGAAGTAGCAACGAAAATAATTTTATGGTTGGGGGTCACCACAACATAAGAAACTGTATTAAAGGGTCGCAGCATTAGGAAGGTTGAGAACCACTGACATAGGATATAAGACTCATATAAATGCTGCATGCTTCAATGAAGCCATCAATGATAAGTAGCACAAGCTCATTAACATAGGTGTCAGAACAGGAGAGTACAAACAGTGGAGGCATATCACAGAAGAAATGATTAATAAGATTTGACCTGCAGAATGTGAGTAGGAATGTAGAGGAAGTATATACTATTGTATCCATGAAGCCTATGCAATATGGAAAAGCAATCAGTTGTTGGCAGAGCGTTTTGGACATTTTAGCTGAATAGAGAAGTGGATTACAGATAGCCACATACCTGTCAAAGACCATCACAGCCAACAAAACACACTCTATGTCTACAAAAAACACATAGAAAAAGAGCTGTGTAGCACAGGCATTGTAAGAAATCCTTTTAGTTTCACTTAATAAATCAATCAGCATTCTAGGAGCAATGGTTGAGGAACAGCAGAGATCAACAAAGGAGAGGTTGCCCAGGAAGTAATACATGGGTTTGTGAAGCTGGGTACTAGTGCATATCAATAGAATCATCCCAACATTCCCTAACACAGCAATGACATAAATTGAGAGGAAGATAAAAAAAAGAACAAGCTGCATTTTGGGATTGTCTGTGAATCCCTGAAGAATGAATTCAGTAATGACAGAATCATTTCCTTTATCCATGATATTTCACAATGGGTGCTGGGTTCAGAATATTAGCTGAATCTGAAATGTCTTTTTTTTAATCTAACAAAGGAAGGAAAGAAGATTTGCTTTCTTTAGAGTTCCATCTAACTTGGCTTCTCTATAAAAAAATAACCATGAGGACATTTCCACTTTATTCATCTAAATTAGACATGTCCAACCTATGGCCCAGGGACCACATGTGGCCTTCGACAGCTAGTAATGCAGCACCACAACCCCCCCCCCCCAAAATAAAGGAGATTTGTTATTTATATAAATTAACTCCCCTTTATGGATTACTGCCTTGTCGTGGCGAAGGGGCTTGTGTAACTCAGTGACAACAACAACAACAAATAAATTAACTATATTATACATTTTGAATGTGGCACAAGACAAATCCTCTTCACTCAATGTGGCCCAGGCAAGCCAAAATATTGGACACGCCTGATCTAAATGATCATTAAATTTGCATTAAAAAAAATACAAAGCAGGGCAGCTATTCTAATATTTATTTCATTTGCTGAGGCATTGTATGTGAGAATTCATATTAATACTCTGTGTTAGTTGTGTGACTATTATTATAAAAAATCTATGATGGAACGAATGTTACAAATATTATATAAATTTTGAGTTGCTGGTAAACCTTCTTTCCCCTTCTTTCTTGAGAAGCCTCTCAATTAAAAAATAAATAAAATAAAATCACTTGCTTTCAGGTTACTGATAGATTTCAAACACTGTCATATTTCTTGTTTCACTTAATGAATTTGACTGTTCATATTTTGTAGATTATGAGTTTTAAAAACTTTTTCATTGAATATCATTGCTATCCTTCTGATTCTGGGGTGTCTTTTGCATATGTTGAAAGCACTACTGACTTTTATATGGTCCCAAATTTGGACGGAAATAATTTCATCTGAAAACACCTAAGCTGAGTACAATAACTTCTCATCGGATGTAGTTGTCAATATATTAATTCTTTCTTACAAAAGTAACCCACAAATATTTTAATATACAGATTACTAGAATCTCTTATTTGAGGTCCTTCATTCTGGCTCAAATCCAGAGGCAAATAAGAGGTTTTAGTAATTTATGTACTAAAATATTTGTAGGTCAGTTTCATTCATGAGACCTATAAGGCAGCATCCAAATTAACAGAACCATTTAGATAATTGTAAAAGGGGAGCTGCCTACATCTCCTGCTTAAAAGATAAGAAGAACAATGAACTAACTGGCTAAGATGTCATAGAAAAATCTCCAGTTAGAAAGTGGGAATAACCTGTCACCATTTTTTTGGAGGGGGGGGGGAAGTGTCTCCTTTTTTTCCTCCCAACTTGTGAAAGTTAAAACAAGAAGCACAAGACCATTGCAACTGTGAGAGTTCCTTTTGCTTTTCAAAGACTAGACACACCACAGCATAGAAGAGAACTGTACACAATATTCCACTGCAGCACACACCTCACTTTATCTCTCTAACATAGGGTCCTGTATATCCCCCCTTCATCATGGCACTCTTTGTTGAAGGGATCTTTACAATTGATTCATCTCTTTCTTTTTCTCTTATATTACTAGAAAATAATCCTCTTTAGCACAGTACAGCAGAATACATCTTTTTAATATTCAATAAGTTGTTGTTTTAGTATCTTAACATGAGTTCAGAAGAAATCTTGATCTTAATGGTTCAGTCCAGGATTCTCAAACTTTGCAGAATCACAAATGCACATTGTGGATAGTATCTGTGATATACAGATTAAAATTCTGTTATTAAAAGTAGGTTCTGTATTTAGTTCTTCCCAACCCCGACATCAATGAAATTATTAGTTTTATTCATGGGGTGGTGACAAACAAATTTGAGAACTATTGCGTTAATCATTAATTCATATCTTAAAAATGAATAGTTTGCTCTGGTTTTTAAGGCATGGGTTGAAAAAGTAGGACATGAATATACTGCGCTAAGATCAATGGAAGAACAGTTTGGCATCTCTTTCTTGTATTTTTATGAATATAAATTATAATTAACAATGTAAATTGTTATTTATAGCAATTGCATTTTTTAGAAAGAAATTTGGAGGGTTGTTATTGTGGGGAAAATAGTAAGAGGAATGAGCATTAAGTATGTTCACTATCTTGATTAATTTATAAAAATAATAAAGGCAAGATAAAAATACATACATACATACATATAATATCTATATTATACCGTACTCGGCTATACTATAGTTTATATTATAGACACATAAATTTATAACTTCAGTAATCAGGTTATTCTGGGAACAATGTGAATTAAAACCATGTCAGTATATGAAATCCACATAAATGGCTATGGCTTATATGTATGAAAACTGCAAATGCAAGATATGAAAGTTTGCCTTTAGCACCAGTACATGTACTAAACATCCTCCCCAGAGTTAACAAACATACCTGAAGTTGATGGAGTTTTCTTTCTTACAGACTCTGTAAGTAGGCAAAAAGATCTTATATGTCTTTTGAGACCATCTGGGATATGATCCCTGATGGACTTCGGTATACTGTTTGGATACAAACACTTTAAGTACCAATAATTAACTTTCTTGCTTTGTTGTGATTTAATTTTTTAATTGCAGGTTAGTTGCAAGTGAATAGCATATAGGGAATTGTTTTTTTTCTGAAAATTGTATTGTTAAATTGAAACCACTAGTTCTAAAGCAGTGGCTCTCAACCTTCCTAATGCCGCGACCCCCAACCATGTGGTCGTAAGTCAAGGACTACCTGTATTTCTCTGTGGGTGGGGGCAGAAGGAGGTGCGCAGACTCCGCCTCCTCTCCTGCGGCTGGAACGCACATCAGGCAGGCCGAGGGCAGACTTGGGCCGTCGCCCAGCAACTGCCTCAACACAAGAGCACCGCGCATGCATGGTGCCACCCCCTGCGCCAGCTGAGGCATAGCTGGCAAGGTGGTGCTGCCTGCAATTTCATCATGCTCGGTTCGGACTGGCCGCCCACGCAGCTGAGCTGGCCTGGGGTGGCGTCGGGAGCGCGTTTCAAGCATCCAGATGTCAGTGGGGAACCGGCGGGGCCACTACACACCACCCAGCTCCTGACAGCCAGCTGATAGTCAGCCCCATGCATGCCAGCTACCCTCCCAGTGCCCGCTGCTGCCCCACTAGCCTTACCTAGGCCACCACCCATTTGCTGCGGCGGCAGGCAGGCCCACGCCCTCCTGGGTGGACATGGCAAGCTGCAGCGACAGCATAGGCCGACCACTGGCTGGGCCACCAGCTGGCCCAGCCGAAGGGAGGTAAGCCACCCACCATGCCCCACGTGTGCCAGCTACCCTCCCTGCACCTGACGCTGCCCTGCTAGCCTTACCTTGGCCACTGCCCATTCACTGCAGCAGCAGGCAGGCCCAGGTGCTCCTGGGCGGCCCTCCCACCCCTGGCCCTCTTTTACTTACATTTAGTAGTTGCTCATGACAAGCCCCTGGGCTTGCCAAGGGCCTGGAGATGGGGAGCATGCAGCCAGACACCGCAGGTGTCAGAGGAGACAAAAGCCAGGAACACTCCTCCTACCAGCTGGACAAGAGACTAGATAAGCAGGACGAGGGAGGGATTGTGCCTTACCTTGGCTGTGTCTCCTTTCCTCCAGCTGCCTCATTATCAGAACAAATGGCTGGGATGGCAGAGGCTCCTTGGGTGTGTCTGGAGGGGGGGAAGGGTGGTGCACTACTCCTATTATCCATACGGACCGGATGCTGGCTTGCTAAATGGGATGGGGTTGGTGGGTGGAGCACAACTATGTAAAGCACTGGGAGCAATTCACTCCCAGTGCTGACTTTTCTTTTGCATTAAAGTTTGCTGGTCACCTGTTCCTTCTGTGTTTGGAGTTTATCAGCAGCTGGCAGAGGACAGCTGACAGTAAGTCAGCACTCCCTTTATTTTCCTGTTCCCTTCTTCTTGCCTGTTGCTGTGGACTGTGACTACGATGGCAGAGGGTAAACAGGAGGTTCCTACTGGGACAGTTGAGGCTGATCTGGCTGGAGTAACAGGCCCTGAGTCTGAGGCCCGGGAGATGCAGCCAGTAGCCAGGCCTAAGGTAATGGAACCACAACCTGCAGCCCCTACAGGTGAGACCCAGGGCCCTGGGGTTGCTGCAATGTCTGGGGAATGGTGGCACAGCCCTGCATTGGCCAATGTGGAGCCTGGATGGGTGACGACGCCAGGACCTAGAGCATCTTTGATGGACTGGTGGGAGAGACGGCCGACGGGGCAAGATGAGGATGAATGGAGCTATTCCACCGCTCCTTGCCAAGACACCATGGATGTATTGAGGGACCGGTTCGGGGAGGTAGGATATCAAGACACCTCCTCCTGGCCACAACGGATGGCTACGAGAGAAGAAGCCCCATGGCATCGGCCGGAGGCGTCGTCCAGACATCCTGACTCGGTTCCGGTTGGCCAGTCCGCGGCTGCGACAGCCTCCTGCTCCAGAGTATCCACGGTAGGAGAGTCTTCTTTGGCTGTACCGCAGATCCAGGCTCAGCCTGTGTGGACAGATCGGCCAGCCCCTGGGTCGTGGGGTGTTGCCTGCTGAAAGGGGTTCTGGCCAACAGGATGTGGGTTCCAGTGTCCAGGTCCAGCCGCCTACAGCTGACACCTTGCATGGCCCAACCCAACCTATAGGACCCTGGGGTCAGGGCCTGATGTGGGGTCCACCACCCATACCAGTCACGTTCGACGGGCATCCAGATCACCTGGCAATATTCTTAAGCCATGTGATCAGCCACCTGGATCGATATGCTCGATTCTATCCATCCCAATGGGCCATGGTGATGGCGGTGTCTGCGGGACTGCAGCATGAGGCAGCGGCATTGGCAGCCGACCTGTACAGTGATCATGCTCGGGAGTTGGCTAATGCTGGGTTTTTCCTGGATGCACTGCGTGCCCGCTTTGAAGACACCACCCGGGTTCAGCGCACTGAGGCGGAGTTGCTGGCACTGAGGAAACATGGTCATTGTGCAACTGACTAGGTCCGTGAGTTCCGCAGGTTTCAGTTCACTCTGAAGTATGTGCTGGGAGGGAGGAACTTCCTGGCTGATGCGTTGTCTCACATGCCTCAATACCACAGCAGGTGGGAGGAGGTTGTATAGGTGATTATGCCGCTTTACCAACAGGGGGTCGCTCGAGCGGTTCCACGTCAGTTGGCGGGTGGAACAGCTACTAATGGCGTTAAAAATGATCCCTGGTT